GGGCGGGGGGAAAAGAACGGGGGGGGGGGGGCGGCGGCGAACAACGGAGTGAGCGGCCTGTTTCTCAGGAGGCGAACAGCACGAACATTTCGTACTGTGCCTAAGTATACACACATCGTCCCGACACGAGTGTAGGTGTGGGTGCGCAGGTGGGCAAACGCAAGCGGCGGCGACGGCGGCGGTGGTCAACGAGAGAACACGGATATAGCGCACCAATGTATTTCTTGTGGTACATGCACACACCTCTCCCCGGAAGTGAGTGCGAGCCTATCAACGCTCAGGGACCCAAGTGCGGGTGTGCAATGTAGTTACAACCCACTAGAACCCCCGGTTCAACGCAATGGGGGAGGGGGGACGGGGGAGGGGCTCAACACCAGGAGTAGCAGAAGCAGCACCAGCACGGGTGGCACGCGGCATGTAGCTACCTGTTGCCGGAGCTGAGCGTGGATCGCTGATGCCTTGACGGATGTGTCCACCTCCATGGCGCCTGCCACGGCCACGTCCATCAAAGCCTCGCACGACGGCCTCATGCGCCCCCCCAGGCATCCCGGGTGCTCAGGGTCCTCGATGCTCGAGATCTTCCATAGGCCAGTTACTGCGGGTGGAATTGATTTGGTGGGATGGGATGGGATATTTACAGATTTCCATTGGCTGGTCTATTGGCTAGTTGGTTGATACACAGAAAAAGGATCCTCGATGCTCGAGATGTTCCACAGGCCGGTGACTGGTGGTGTTGGTGGGATGGGATGGAATGGGATATGTACTAAGTTCCATTGACCAGGCGGTTGGTTGGTTGACCCATCTCCGTCCTCTGTCTCTCCCCCTCTCTTGAGAATTCAGCTGTTTTTCTTCAAAAAGTGAAGAAAGAGCCTCTCCGTCCTTGGATGGCACAATTAATTTTTACCATCAAGGAGGCATCATCCCCACCGTGGTGACTTTGCGCGAGGCTTGGAGGAATATTCTGTAGAGCCACCAGCAGAGTCAGGAGCCCGCCATGGGGCTATTAAGACCCCGGTCTCTCTTCATCAAATAATTGTACCATCCAAGGACGCAGAGGCTCTTGCTTCGCTTCTTGAAGTAAAGCGACACAAACTAAATTCTCAAGAGAGGGAGAGAGACAGAGGCCGTAGAAAAAGAAAGACGGGATAGGGTGGGGGTGAGGACCGATCCGGAGCGCCTTCTTCTTTTTGGTTTCTAGCGTGAAAGAAGCTTCCTTCCAGTGGGAATGAGGGGAACGGGGGAGCGGGGGCGGGCGGGCGCCTTGTGGAAGCAAGATACGGGAGTTGTGACGAGTAGCAAAACATGTCGTATCATCGATCCGAGAGTGGTCACGCTCCCCTGCCTGCTGCCTACCTCCCTTTTCGTGCCCATCCATACCTACCGTTGGCCTTGACCGCCCGAACCACATAGCTGCACCCGGCGCATGTGAACTTCTTCTGGCGACTGCCTCCCTGAAGTTAGAGCGCGGCGTCCGCGCGAGAGAGGGGGGGGGGGGGCGACGCGCAGGGCGACAAAACCGTAAACGAGTCTTTCATGAAAACTTCGAAGCATGACGCAGCTGTATCTACAACAGAGCCTGTTCCAACGTATGTAACGGCGGCAGCAACAAAGCCGCCATGGACTCCACGTTTTCTCATTTGGGTGCACAGGAGACCGACCACGTCACAACAACAAAGACAAAACACATCAGAAACAAGGGCCGACCGTTGTTGCTCGATGGCATAACACGGGAAGAGAAAGCCAACAAGGCCTCCGCATGAACATTTAAGATAGCAGACCTTCAGAGCTGCCGCTCCAACTCTCGCGCTCCACAGCAGTTGAAACTGCTTATAGTCAGCTCTATGCGTTTGACGTGAGACTTTGGCGTCGGTACGGTTGTACCTTGCGTTTGTCGGCCTCTACTCTTCTCGCCTCTTCTAAACTAGCCGTCAACATTGCCTTAAATACTACAACAGTGGCATCCGATCGTAAATATGGAAATAAGTACATTATTGCAACGTTGTTGTCGTTGTCGTTGTTGTCGTCTTCGCGGCTGTAGTTGTGCCTGCTGTCTTCACCGCAAAATGCGTTCTGAACTACGTCTGTATTATCGTATCATTCAGTGCCTCCTCGTCCATATCTTCACTATCAATAGGTGACACCTTCTTCTGTTGCAACAAGCCTATCAGAACGAGGCCAGACAAAAAAGCAAAGGCACGAGAGAAAGTCCCAACACCCGTCGCGAAGAAACAAGTTCCTTGCCGAACAAGTCCAGAAGGACAACAAGCAGGGAAGGGCACACGGCAAAGCCCCGATAGGGTCGAGAGGTTTGACGTATCGCCTGCTCGAGAAACAAGCTGAGGAAAAGTTTTCGACACGCACCTCCTCCAGCCACAGCTAATGTTGTCGTCTTTGGGCCGAACATGTTGAAGTATCTATATGCATATGCATATCTTCAGGCTGGGCAAAGCGACGACACGCCGCTGTGTTCGCTGTATTGACACCGGTATGTACAACCCCGTGTACAGGTAAAGGACCGTGTACAGCAGTACCTTTTCGTGAAGTGCTCCATTTTTTTTCGGCATGTCAATGTGTTGTGCACATTCGGAGCCTCTCGCAGATCATAGAAAAGCCTTCCAGTAACGCTGCATACACTCACCCTCTTGCACACGAGCCCGCGACCGTTAACGAGGAGGCTCTTCTCCACCGCGACCCTCAAGTCCTTGCTGGTCTCGAACTGCGCGCCGATCACGATCTCCTGCTGCTGCTGCTGCTGCTGTGGCTGCGGCTGCGGCTGCTGGTTTCCCCCAGTTACTGCCACCGGCGGAGAGGCAGCATCCGGTTGACCGACACCACCAAACGCAGAGCTGGCACCCCCACGCCAAAGGTTCGCAGAAGGAGATCCGGCGCCTCGCGGCGAGTTGGCCGTGGGCGGGGGCTGGGTCGACAAGGCTAGGTGCAGCGGCGGCGGCGGCGGCAAGAGGGCCGACGAAGGCAGCAGCGCTACCCCAGCCGGGTTGATGTTGAGGGCGTTGAGGGTGATCGGCGTGCTCCCGGAAGCCATGATTCCCGGGAGCGCGAGGGCCCGGTAGTGTTGCTGCTGTTGCTGCTGTTGTTGTTGCTGCTGCTGCTGCTGCTGCTGCTGTTGCTGCTTGTCCCTGTCGGTGGAAGGGGCCATTGCAGCGGCGAGTGGTGATTGTGGCGACAACGAGTACAGGTCGTGTTGCCCGAGCAGAGGTGGTGGTTGCGGCGGCGGTTGGTGCTGTTGTTGCTGCTGGGCCTCCTTGCCTTCTCCTGATGATGATGGTGGTGTTTCAGACGAACCCGAGCCTGCGGCAGCGGCTTCGGCGCTGTCCGGTACGGCATCCATGGCCTCCCCAAGATCCACACCCACCACGTATGTGGCCCCAAAGCAAAGACGTGTGCGGGAGAAGCGAGCACGTCCCACAATATTTTAAAGAAGGGTACACCCGCTACGTATTGTACAACGGTTGGCGGGAGGGTACACCTGCTGTGTGCATTTCGGCAGCGGTGGGAATCGTTTTTTTTTTTCTGGTGAGCGTCTCTATTGTATATTTTTCGTCCCCTCTCCCCCTCCCTCACCTTCACGCCTGCTGCGTCGAGCTGAAACGTGAAACGTGTGGATTCGTTCGACCAACATCCCCCCGCGACGACCGACGAGCCAGCTAGCGAAGAGGAAGCAGAGACGTACCCCCCCTGCAATCGCTCCTTCGTGCCATCGGAGAATCGATCTCCCAACGATCGTGTGGTTTATTTTTGGTTGGCAGAGAGCACGCCTGTTGTCGCCGGAGAGGCACGCCAAACAAAAGGGTTCCGTCCATCGTTTTGTGAGTTTTGGTGCCACGTCAACTCGCCCGCGAGAGCTTTGAGGGTTACAATACGTAGGCGAGGTGGTGGTTTAGAAACACGCTGCTGTCACCGCCGTCAAGAGAAGTCGGCACAGGTGCTTTCAGGTCGGGACAACGTGGAGAGAGGCAGGGAGGGAGCAAAGCCGCGAGACACTTCACATGGCTTCCACACAGGTTTCGGACATGCCTCTTGAGGCATCGAGGTGAGAGGGAGGGGCGTTTTTTGGTGCCCAAAGGAAGTTGGGAAAGTTGAGAAGTTTTATGTCCAATTCGTGGGGCGTCTCATGGTGACTCATGTTTGCTTGCTGCCGTGTGCCCGCATAACGCCCCCGAGGACCCTGCAACGCTGCTGTTGCTGTTTTTCGTTTTCTTGCTTTGCCCCCTCCCCATGACTTGTGTTTTCTCTCTTCTAGAAAAGAGAACTGCCGCCCCAACCAAAAACACAACAGGCGCGAAAATACACAAAAGACGCTCTGCCATCATCGTCGTGCTTTCGATCTCTTCGGCCACGCAAGCAGCCACGCCCAGCCCCTGCGCTGCTGCAACGCTACGTTGGCTGGCCGAGCCCACGCGCGAGAAGATGTCTTCCTTCTTCTACTACGTTCCCCCGCCGCAAGAAGAGAAGGCCTTCCCTACTTGATGACCGTATGTCGTTCTTACTGCTGTAGCTTGAAGTTTGCCTGCCAACCAATCAGATCAGCGCAAAGCAGAATCACCAAAAGAAAAGAAAGTAGCTTGGTTCTTCTTATACGGCGAAGTACTGCTGTAGTACAGCAGGGCGCGTGGATCTGATCCAGTTGTTGCTCCAAGTAGACGCTGTACTACCCCCGTTGATCTAGTAGTGTACCATATGTTCATGTTGGAGTCGCAGGGACTTGCTTGTCGCGGTAGAATACGTCTGTATTGCGTACTTTTTGCGGGGTTTAGTTCTTTCAGTACTGCATCGGAGATTCTTGTAAATAGTGTCGTACGATAGTCGTTTTATAGCTGAGGGAAAGATTACTTTTACCAGTTGACATATTTACCGCACCCAGTCATCAAGGGGGAGAAGTTGGCCCCAGGATTTGTCAACGGCCCTCAGAATCAAACAAGAACCGTTCGCTAGTTGGGAGTCTCGCCCTGCGAACCTTGCCGCGGCGATCCTGTCCCGATCGTGGCTTCTGTGCTCCCTTTTGCTCACCTACCCTGCCCCCCCCCCGTCTCCCCTTTGCCTGATGCTCTGCTCTGCAACACTCTCTCGTTTCTCACCCGCTCTCAGGCATGAAAAACTGAGCCCTTCTTCCTTCAGCAACAAGCGAGCTCGCGTATCCCCCACGGAGCGCGGCAGCTTTTGCTCGAGTTACGATGGCAGTGATGCCGCTTACGACACCACCACCCTGCCCACCGTGCCGGAAACGCCAACGTTGAACGGGCGGCACATCGCCACCGCCGCCGGAGGAACGAGGTCTTACGAAGACAACAGCTTCCGTAGCGGCCGCGGCGGCGGCGGCGGCGACGGCGGCTACCCCCGCGCCGCGTCCCCGACCCCGTCGTACGTCTCCTCCTCGACGACCTTCTCGGCGGCGACGACTTCTGCGACGGCGCTGTCCTCGCGGGCCTCGCTGTCCTCCTGCCGGTCGTCGTTCACGTGCCCGTCCTCTTCCTCTTCCTCCTCGTACCGAGGGAAGAGCAGACACGACAGAGGAAGCGGTAGCAGCGGCCGCAGATCCTCGTATGCTTCGTCGCGCCCTTCTTCACTGGTCGCGGGAGGCGGCGGCGGTGTGGACTACTTTCCTAAGCCGTCTGTTTCGTGGAGCGGCGGACGCCGCAGCGGCAGTAGCAGCAGCGCCGTTGGCGGTGGCGGTGGTGCGAGCTGGCGGAGGAGAGACAGCAGTAGCCGCAGGGACCGCTGCAGCAGCAGGGAGAGGCACTTCTTCTGCCCCCCGCCCGCCCGACGTTCCTCCGCCGATAAGGACTACGCCAGCGAGGCGAGCAGCAGCAGGAAGAGAAACAGGAGCTGCAGCAGGGAGAGGGGCAGCAGGGGCGACAGCCGGGGCAGGAGCAGCAGGAAGACGCCGACCACCGCCGAAAGTCGCTGCGGGGTGGAATGCGCGCGTTGCCTGGAGTGGTGCCGCCCGAGCCGCTCGCCCAAGACGCCCATCCCTCGCACCTTGCAGGTAAGGGGATGGGGTGGATCATCGCCCTTGAACTGTTGTGTCGTTGGTTAAGCGGTAGAGGGAGCGCTGCGAGACGTCGGCCGTATGAATCTTCGGGGGTGTCTATTGTGGCAAGGCCATCTTATCCTCCCTCTGCCCCTTGAGTGGGTCGCTCGTTTTCGGAAGGCGAAGTCGACCGCGTCCTACGAGGTCGATCCCCGTATGGGGTTGAGAGTCCGTTCGGCAGGAGGACACGCACGCAGCCCCGCCAGTATACATAGGAGCACCATTGTTTGCAGTCGTATCTCAAACCCGTCGGGAAACCCCGAAAGCAAATGCAAAGGTATCGCTGCTGCTGTACACACATCAGCCAGAGATTCTTTTGTTATTTTGTTACGGACCGCCAACGTTGCCCTGCTCCCCCTCCGCCTTCCTTCCTCCCTTGCCGTCGACCGATTTCTGCCGTATGCATCCGCAGATGGACTACTGGGTTCGCACCCCGAATTGCAAGGCTGCCAAGTCGAAGCACATCGACTTCATCGATGATGTGGCCTACTCCCGAGAACAGGTGACTTTGATTTCTTCTTGGTTTTGAGTTCTCGTTGTGCACGTGTTTTATTTTCTGCAGAGCCGCCGCCATCGATCGTCCATCGTAGCCATGGTGCCCCCCTCAAACGGTCGAGCGAGCACGCGCTTCCAGCTCGTGACTGGTGTTTCGCACATGTGTGAAGGAGGAGTCGGGACGCCGGTGTCCGTCCGATCAGGATATATATCGTGTACGCCATGGTTTGTCGTGGATACAGTAGAGTCTCACAAGTATTGTAGAAGCTGTTTTTGAGCACGCGGGCAGGTGTCCCAATTAGGGATCATGACGCGTGTCCTTTCGACGAACATGGTCGGTGGTTGGTCATTTGCTGTCGATCATGCCTCGCCCCGGGAATTTCTCGCTTGCGTTCGTTGCAAAGCCAATAGGTCAGAGATGACGAGATTTTGAGTGATGCGACTCAAAATGTATGTTTGTTCGTCGCAACAGTCGCAACCCGAATGCTCACATAGAACCCATTCCGAAATGTGGATCAGCCGACAAGGCCCGCAACCGTTGTACCCCCCCTCATCACCTTACACCCCCCCCCCTCCCCGCCCTCGCCTATCGCAACAAACGAACAGTTCATCGAAGAGACGGTGTTCACGTGCCCCTTCACGGGGGCGCGGCGGGCCATCGTCCTGGAGCGGAACATGTTCCCCTACGACGTGCCGACGGACGTGGAGCACTGGACGCTGTGGAGCCGCAAGGACCTCCCGAACGACGAGATGGAGGCCTTCGTGCAGGGATGGGCTGCGGAGAACCACCCCCACGCGGTGGAGTGGGAGTGCGACAACAACGAGGGCGAGCGGTCCATCGACTGGTTCCACGTGCACGTATTCTTCCGGCTGGGGTGCGAGGACAGGACCGGGGTCCCGCGGGATCCAGCGTCCGTGTACGACGGCCCCTGCGGCAGCGCGGTCGCGGGCGGGCAGGAGGAGGATGAGGAGGGGGCCGTTGTGGTCGGCGGCGGGGCTGATGATGATGGGACCAGCACCGATAGGGATGATGGATCGCGCGCCGTTGGTGTAACCGACTGCGAGTGATTTTTTTTTTCGTCGTGCCGTTTATTCCGGAACGTCGATCGAAGCATGAGAAAAAATCATTTTTGTGAAGATTGCGAAAGAGGGAAAAGTGTAATCCATCTGCGGCGGGTATAATATGTTCCGATTTTTTTTTTCTGTTTCGGGGTTTCGAGAAGAGTTTTGAGGAGGCGTTCTTCAAGAAGCAAGCGTGGACGGGCCAGACCGTCTTTGCGCATCCGTGGGTAGTGTCTGTGTGGTAAGATTCCGGTGTGTCGGACATGTCAGTGTCTTGACAATTTTTGAGGGTTGTTGGTGTGAGAGGTGGGCAAGATTTTTGATGAGCGTGACTCCTGTTTGTCTGCTCTGTTTCGTTTTCTCGATGTTGTGTGGCTGTGGTGGATGATACTACCGGCCAGCTGACGTGTGTTGCTGTTTGGTGGCGTGCAGTTGAAGAATTGTGGTTAATGTTCGAGAAGCAACTCGACATACGGCATCTTATGCGCCGTCGTGGCGTTGTCGAATGTTGTACCTTTTATTGTGTGTGATGCATATGTACGAAATATGACTTTGAAATAAAAAGGGGGGGAGGGGGGGAGCATCTGCGCGTTCACCTAGACTTGCTGTAGAATCAGGCAGCTAGCTCCCTTCGTGTTTGCCATGGCATCATGGCGGTTGGCCGGTCATGTCGTCAGAACATTCGCAACAAATGCACGCTCTCATTAAGCGCAAAATTATAAAAACATTTGTTATACCACTGGGACGCTCGAGTGTGCCAAACAGAGGATGAGGGATTCGTTTCGTTTCTCGTAACTCCTCTCGCTTGTGTGGTTCCCTCCTGTGTGCCTCCTCCGATGTGCCGCGAGATAAATGGTTTCCACGCAATGTAGCGCTGGCACGGCCGCGGCTAATTGGTGTTTCCACTTTGTTGCCCCTACCCGTGCTCGACCACTGTCTCTCTCGGTTTGTGCCCCGAGTTGGACCGTCCCCCCTTGCCTCGCCCTACTTGAGGATGTTAGCCGGGTTTTTCGTATGATAGCCCCACCCAGTGTCGAGCGTACAGGGGAGGCGTCTTACGGAAGCACATGGTGTGTGTTGACCCGGAGGGTGTGCTGATTTTCTCACAGGGCGAAAACTAGACGTCCCAGAACACACCACTCGTTTTGTCAACAACTTGGGGCAATCCGTGACTCAACAGATGCGATAGTTTCCGCGAGGAACAATGATGTCGTCGTGGCCCACCAGAGCACCCCTGCTTGAATTTTGGACCAGTTTTATTTTCTCCGGTGTTCCCCAGTTCTTCGTCAGACGTCGGACCAACTCGAGCCATGCTCCGCACGAACAAACAAACGTTCTCCCTCTTCCCCTTGCCTAAAAGGCCCCTACTCTATCTAGCTTCCTGCCTACAGTAGCCAAAATAAAAAAGGCTTTGAGTCGAGGCCGGGGTTACCCCTGCCCCATTTTTTACTAAGAAAGGTCATATTCTTGGAAACACTTTTTATCTTTCGGTCTTGTTTTCAACAGAAAGGTAGGCCCAATCAAACGCGCCGCGAGCCAGTCACTCAGTCTTTTTTTTCTCCGGTCTCTTTCCCAGACTTGCGCTGCTAAAAACAAGCTCTTCTCACTTCTTTGGACGATTCGCGGGCCCCTCCTCCAAGGTCGAACCCATCCCGCCCCCCCCCCCCGCCCCCAATGGTTCTGTTGAACTGTCGGCGCAATTGCATATGCTGCCCGTTATAGTAGGCATGCCACAGTCGACAGACCCCGCCCTTACCATTTTGTAATATATTGACCCCGACAGCAGTAGCGACACCTTTAGCATCTACGGTGTTGAAAACAGGAAGACTGCACATTGCTGCCGCGTTGTAGGCACCGCCTTCTAGAAACGAACAGCAGCACCAACCCCGCCGTCTTCTCTCTCCCGAAGTCACGCGGACCCATAAGCCGAATCATTTAACTCTGTAATCTCAACATCTACTACACACATACGGGAACATAGAGGCCTTGCCAAAACATGCGGAACGGACGACGAGGCGGATGGATAGGAGACACGCACATCACAGCAGCGGCAGCGATCGTCAGACAGAAACGCAGCTAATAGCTACTGAAGACCGGATCCGTCCGCGGAAACCAAACCGGGCTGCAGCAATAATATTGTATGTCGGTCCACCCGCACACTCAGCATACAAAAATGAAGCAGACAAGGGGGTAGGGCAGGCAGACAGACAGTCAGTCGAATAACGGGCGCACAACGAATGAAGCCCTCACCACGTTATAAACGATGAACTACCCAGCCTATCAGGCAGGCAGCGGCAACGACCGGCAAAGCTTTCAGGCCATCTAAATAGGCTATACGTACAATCAAAATAACGGCGTGCCAGATGAGCACGCGGGGCCGGCGGGCCTCCACGCCAACAAACAGAAAAAAAGAGCGAAAAACGAAAAGACTCGCGGCCCGAAATATATCAACGCCCGGCCGGAATCAATCATCAAGGCTTTTTGACAGCCAAAAGACATCCTAATACATTGTATCACGAAGAACGCCATCACACGAACAGACACAACGTTTGGTGTTGTGTCGTATCTAATAGAGAGAAGAAGCGTGGCGAGGCGGGCCACATGCTAAATGCTCTCTCGGAACTGGAGAGAGAGCGCCTCACAGAAGAAGGCAACAACGGAACCAACCGGCACCCACTTTCGTTTTCGCGTCTGAATACCACACCTACAGGGGCACCTTTGGCTCCCCCTCCAGAATATGTCTTGGTTCGGAGAAAAAAGATACATAAACAAAAAATATATATCCCTGCACATGTACGCATATCTTTTTTTCGTGACTCAAAGTGTTCTCCACCAGCGTGTCCATGAAATTTTCGTGAAACCTTTTTTGCGCGGGAGGGAGCGCTCGGCCAGCTACCACATAGCTGCCCACAGAAAATATATTGTAACCAAGAACAACCAGACAGACTGACAGACAGACACAGCCAAGCTTCGAAACAAACCCAACCCCCATACCGTACTCCCGCTCGGTGGCAGCAAGCGACAGACGAACGTCCGCTCACGGCACACGCGCGAGTCACCCGGCACTGGAGGTCAGCCTGCAACGGTTCCTATTCCGAAAACACACACACACATGCGCCATCCGCCGGCTCAACAGGTACGGGACAGGCAGATAATCAGCAGCAAGAAGCATCCACGCTGACCGGCGCTAAGCCCCCCCATGCAACACCACTCACAGGACAAAGCGGTACTATAAAGAGAGCA